CCTGACTGTGCTCCATGTTCTACCTGACTGTGCTCCATGTTCTACCTGACTGCCCTATCAGTATATTTTATTTGATTGCCCTCATTAGCTTATTTTCTTCTATGGTTTCTTAGTATTTATATGAATCTCTTACCATTTTTGTTTTTAAGATGCACAGCCTTTATCTAAATGAAGTAGATGGTGAAAAAATTTACTGAAATTTTGTTTAGCAACAACTACAAATGCCCCAAACACATAAAACTCTTATGAGAAGTTTTTGCCTACTTTTTTGCATTAGCCTTGGAACCTATAAACTAACCAGAATGGTTCTCATGTGTTTCTGCATCAAGAATATTTAGGGACTTATGTATGGTTGTATGCATGTGTGCGTGCATACATATATACACACTCAGGGCTAGTTAAATCACCTGATTCTGAGAAATATTTTCTAACTCAGGGTTGATTCTTGGCTGACACTTCTTCACTCTACGGTGTGATGTTTACTAAGTGAAAATGAGAGAGGCTGTCAGTTCTTTGCAAACCTTTGCCACGGTGCTCTTTCCTCTGTAAGAGTAGTTATTTCCTGGAGTCAGAAGCCTGCTGGTTCAGATGCCAGTACTTGATCTGAGTCTTTAGATGTGGAATTTACAGCCTATGTATTATTCGGCCCAGGTCACCAAGGACAGCCTGACTCAGGAGGAAGTAGCCAAGGCCACTAGCACAGTGGCTTGGTTGGCCAAGCAATGCAATGCATATGGGGGCTTGCTTCTCTTCCACTCAGGGGAGCAGCCAGCTTTCCTGCCACAGTCAGATAGGCTCACATCTGTGGAGACAGGGAAATATCTCTCTTACCCTCTGGGCCCTTGTAATCTTATAGAAAGGGAGAAAAGGCTATAAAAAAATATATGGAAGGGTTAATAAAATCAGGCCGTGTGACCCTGTTGTTTTAAGGTAAGCCTACCAGAGACTACCACATTGACACTCTTCACGTAGAAAGGAGTATTGCTGGCTGGCAGCTGTGCAGAACTTGTCCAAATCCTGTATCTCGGAGTCTTACAGCTGTTTGTCCTTTACGCACAAAAGCCACATGGTGGTTATCACACTTCAGCCAGCAAGAATCAGAACTACAGAAGTCGAAAAGCAAAACATTTAGGGGTTTTCTTGGCACTATGGACTAAGTCTTTGATCGATTGAACTTTGTTTTTATTTTGGCAGATACTGGGGGCCTACATGCTGGGTTTTAGTATCAGAATGGTATTTCTAACATGATGTCAGTTATGCTAAGGTCTGGCATCCTGTTATAATGTAAGTGGTACCAGATGAATTTGGTTTTCCCTTTGGAGCAGTGATTCTCAACCTTTCTAAAGCTTCAACCCTTTAATACACTTCCTCAAGTTATGATGACCCCCAACCATAAAATTATTTCATTGCTACTTCATAATAGTAATCTTGCTACTGTTGTGAATTGTAATGTAAGTATCTGATATACACCCTTATGAGTCATTTGACAACCCCCCACACACATACACAAAGGGGTCATGACTCACAGTTTGAGAACCACTGTTGTAGAGTGCTTTTATATGTGTGCTGGTAAGTAATTGTCAATTTGACACAAGCTAGGGTCATCTAGGAAGAGGGATGCTCAACTGGGAGAATGCCTCCGTCAGATCGGCCTGTAGGTGAGTCTGTAGTACATTCACTTGTTTAATGATTGATGTGGGAGGGCCCAGTCCTCTGTGGGCAGTGCCATCCCTGAGCAGGTAGTCTAATGTGGTATAAGAAAGCAGGCTGAGCAAGCCAGTAAGCAACATTCCTCCATGGCTTTTGCTTCAGTGCCTGCCTCCAGGTTCCTGTCCTGTTTGAGTTCTTGCCGTAATTGCCCTCAATGGTGCACTGCAATGGGGGCGTACAGACCAAATGAATCCTTTCCTCCTCAAATTGTTTTTGGTCATGGTGTTTATCATAGCAATAGGAACCAAACAAGGACAACGCGTAAATAGGATGGCAAAATTATGGCAAAATTTATATATTAACAAATTATGAAGCCTATTAAGAGATCTGTACATATGAAAATCGAGGGTTCACAGGCATATCACCTTCTACTATTGCAGGTACTAGAAAGTTAATAAGATCTTTACTCCAAATGTTCACAGTAGAAAGCTAGGTCACATTTCATATAAAGGAAGGAGCCAGGCATCATGGTGCACACTTTTAATCCTAGCACTGGGGAGGCCGAGACAGGCAGAAACTGTCTCAAACCATCATGTAACTGAAAGAGGATCTGGAAGCTAACATCATAAAGGTGCAAAGTATATCAAATTGAATTGACAGAGAGTGTGAGTGTGTGCTTACATCATCAGCTTGAAGGATAAGAGTAGTTTGTGTGTGTGGCGGGGGTGGGAGGTTGGATCAAACACACTACCATTGAGCTACATGCACGATCTAGATTCATACACACACACATACACGCGCACACACGCACATGCACACACCCCGGCCAAAAAAAAAAAACAACTAAAAACTAAAAAACCAAACCAAAACCATTTCACCATTTCACAAGTGGTTAAAGGAGAGAGATCAAAACGGATATATAAAACTTTGGTAGGCAACTGTGAAAGGAAAGGGAAATGGTGTGAACTGAAACCCTAACCTGTGAAAATGTCGATTGGATACTGGAAAAACGGGTTTAGTTGGAGCCAATGGAACATAAGTCAGCTGGAAACCAATGAAGTTCATATTATGAAGGGCCTTAGGTGACAGGCTGGTACTTCTGTGCCCATTTCATGAGCCCCCATAGACCACCAAGGAGCCAATTCCCATGCAATATATACAAGGGTCTTTACTCAAGGTTGAGCTCTGGCCACGCCATCATCACTGACCCAGCAGGATAGAAGGGTAAAGCCTGAACCCATTGCAAGCAAGCACTTATAGAGGCAAGCAAACAAGCAAGGGGGTTTCCAGCTTAGCACACATCTGATGGGGGGGGGCTATTATGGAATCTTGTTGCCTTTAAAAATGATTGGTTGGTTCTGGGAGCTAAACCATAAACTCTCATAAGTAACTATCACTAGGTACAACTGTAACTTCTGCTTTCCTCTTGATTGGTGATTGTTAGGGCATGACCTGGAGACCAGTGCTAGGGGCAGGCCTGGTGGTTAACTCCAGTTCTACCTTAGGTCAGGTTTTCTAAGGTGAAAGCCTGAACCCAAGATGGAGTTGGTCTGGTCTCTCATTAGCTGGTGGTGACTGTTTTGGTTTTCAACCTGTTGCTTGGTATGTGGGGTAATTTAGAGGAGGGAGACCCAGGACCTGAGAGAGACCAGGAGACTGTTACATAGAACTGGGAGAGTAGCAGGAGGAGATAAAGAAGAAAGGTAGAATTTATGATAAATTCGAGTGTATCAAAAATTATATTAGAAGCTGGACAGTGATGACATATGCCTTTAATCCCGGCACTTGAGAGTCAGAGACAGTAATATTTCTGAGTTTGAGGCCTTGTCTGCAGAGAAAGTTCTAGGACAGTTTAGGCTACACAGAGAAACCCCAGGCTCAACAAACAAACAATCTTAGTGCTCAAAATAGCACTTGCCTAGCCGGGCAAGGCCTTAGATTTGTGTAAATGTAACTTTTATTCTCCAGATGTAAGAGAATGTCATGGAGGCTTACTGCTGGATAAACTTTGGTAGGCAACTGTGAAAGGAAAGGGAAATGGTATGAACTGAAACCCTAACCTGTGAAAATGTAGATTGGATACTGGAAAAACCTTTTTAGCTCTTTCTAACTTGTCTGGATTGGTTCAACTCAGCAGTTCTGGCATAAACCCCTTTCCAAGATGACTGATTCAATCTAGTTTCTCTTGGCTTGTGACTGAATTGCTCTGCCTGGCCCCTTATTACCAATCTCTCTCTCTCTGTCTCTCTCTCTCTCTCTCCTCTCTCTCTCTCTCTCTCTCTCTCTCTCTCTCTCTCTCTTCCTGTTTCTCTCTGTCTCTCTTTCCGTCTCTTTGTGTGTCTGTCTATGTATGTGTCTGTCTGTCTGTCTGTCTGTCTGTCTGTCTGTCTGTGTCTCTCCCTCCCCCCCCCCCCCCCCGGGGTTTGTGGCTGGCGGTCTCTCTCTCTCTCTCTCTCTCTCTCTCTCTCTCTCGCAAACACACACACACACACACACACACACACACACACACACACACAGATCCTGGATCTTCAGCCAGTAGGAAACCCCTTCTGTTGACTTGCTTTGAGAGGCTGAAACAATAATGATCCCCTGGCTTCTGCTCACACAAGGTTAGACGCAGCTTTACAGGTTAAGCTGGTTTGCAGCCTCCACAGGGCAGCTCCACCTTCCTACTTCACAGGGCAGTAAATGTTGTCTAAGTATATTTGGTCTTTTGAGGAAATGAAAAGTGATGTTCTTTAGTCTGTAATATATATTTTACAGTGTCAAGCACGTAAAAATCCTCACAGTAGAGAGTAGAATATAACAAGTTTTACCAAGCACTGCATTCTCTTCCTCTTTATTTTAATTTATATAAATTGTTTTTGACATGGATAGCTTCAAGCTATACAATATGATACACTCTTAGTGATGGCCTGTCTCCTTCAGAGCTAAAGAAAAGACTATTGGGGCTAAAGAGATGGCTCAGCAGTAAAGAGCACTGACTGTTCTTCCAGAGGTCCTGAGTTCAATTCTCAGCAACCACATGGTGGCTCTCAACTATCTGTAATGAGATCTGAAGACAGCTACAGTTTACTCATATAAATAAATTTTTTTTAAATAAAATGATTATCATGTATCCCAACAGCTAAGAAGCTTGGGACTGAAAGGAAGGATGTCCAAGGGTTCTGGTACTCTTACCAGCCAGCCACACGTCATCACACAGGTGACTACGGAATAAAAACTGTAGAAGTATGAATTTTCTAAAACTCTCAAGTCATTGCTGATTCCTGCTCCAATGAGAGGGCTATAAGATATACAGTGAACCATTATCTGCTTGCTTCTAGAAATAACCCCTTTGAAGCTAAGTTCTATTTCTAAGCATGAATTTACTAGAATGGCCAGATGACCTAATGCTGTTCAGTAACAACTTCTTAATGATGCTTATCTATATGTGTAAGTTGTCTGGGTTTCCATAACAGCGTCCATAGAAGAGTAATTCTCTATATGCTTAGGAATTCTGTCACCTAAGTCTGCTTCAGCCACCAGGCATGCATTTATAGGTCCTTCAGGTTAACTTTCATGGCTCACAAAACAGTAAGCATATGCTTGTTTTACTTCAGGATACTGTAGTTGCCCTCCAAGCACTGCCAGGCATCCAGCAATTGCCTATATGCCATCTGAGAAAGACAGTGTGGTTACAAAATCTACTGAAAAATTTCAACACACTTTCAGCACTGAGTCTGCCAACAGACTGGTTCTGCAGCAGGAGGCATTGCCCGGCATCCCTGATGGGTGCACTGTGGAGGTCTCAGGTCAGGGTTGTGTCTATGTGCAGGCAAGCAGAGAGCCTTAAGAATGAAGTACAAAGAAAGGGAGTGTTGGTACATTCTTTCCTCAAATACAATTTCTCACTACCTCCTCCCTCCCTCTCCTCTTTGTCCCTCCTCTCTCCTCCCCCCTCCTTTGGAATCTTCCCTCCCCTACCCAGCCACCATCTCTCTCTAGGAAAGTAGTCTGAGGTGTACAGATTTGAAACCCTTCCTTACTCAGATTTGGTTAATCTCTTTCTGCCAGACAGTGTTGAGATACCACAATGTCTCTCCTAACATTAGAGCGGCCTTTAGCCTTCAGGTGGCAACAGGGAAAACTAGTTGTGAACAATTCACTTCCCCCCGAGTCTTTGACTCCTACTATTCATACCAGGCAACGAAAGCTGGGGATGCCTGAGTCTTGGGAACTGAATATGCCTGTGAAGAGGGGTTGGGGGGTGTGCCTATGCCCACACATGTGTGTGAAGATGCAGAGTCTATTCTTCCTGCCCTCAGTTATGTGGGGAGTCGAAGCTCATCCAACACGGCCACTGTGGAAGTGAAGATGTTGTCTGGGTTCAGTCTGTGGAGGGAACCAACCAGTTAGTAGGTGGCTTCTGTTTTTTCTTTTTCCATTTAACTATCTCTTAGGGGACTTGATATCGATGAAACAAACCCCGGTGAAGTAGGCACTGTTCTATATATCTATTACACACGCACACATTTACAATTCGAGATCATCTGAACGGACTGCTGACGTGCATCAGATATGTAAAATGGAAGCAGTGATAGTCTTGGTTCCTTTTTCTTATCCTGTGCTAGGAATGGAACACGGGGCCTTGCACATGCTAGGAAAATACTGTACACCTAGCCTATAGAATTCACTTAAAAAAAAAATTCTGGAACACTTGAAAGAGACCAGCATGAGCAGAGTCATGTTGGCCACGTACAACAACAGTATGTAAACCATACTGGGATTCAAAGGTGTGGTGAAAAATAAAATATATACTAGTTAGTATATATATCACATGATAAAATTGAAATATTGGAAGTTTAAAACTGAAGAACACACTTTACCCCATGGATAGTAAAGACTTTGGTGCTGGCTCTGGTTCTATCTCTCTCTCTTTCCTCCTCTTAAGATCTAGTTTCAGCAGCAACCCCTGAGGAAGAAGGTTGAGTCTGGAAAAGACACACAACATTTATTTGGAAGAGGTAGGTGTTTAGAACTAACCAAAGAGCTGGATTGTGTTTGTACCCTCGGGGTTCCTTTCAAGTCTGCATGTCCTAGTGTCATATACGCAGACATCCGGGACCTGGGAGCACACAGACTGAGGGGTGGTGTGTTCCATGATGGTACACCATGGAGCAGGTGCCACTACTGTAGATGAATATCCACCCGCAGACCGATACCCTGAGCTGTTTACACCATTTGAGATGTCGAATGGCCACATTTAAGAAAGGAAACAGAATATGAAGAGAATTATCATTGTACCAAATGTTGAGAATGTTACTGATCCTCTGTTGAAATGAAGAATTAAATACAATGCATTGATTTAAATTACATTTGAAAGCACAATGGATAATATGAACGTGTACATGTATTGAGGTCTCGCTTTTCACTGGCAACAGTTCTAAATAATTTTACAATAGTAAAACACTTAATTATTTCAATAGTGCTGTGGGCTGAGTAGCTCAGTAGTAGAGTGTTAGGAACTGGACCTGGTAGATACAATTGGGAAAATCTTAGCTGGCTGTGGTGGCACACACCCTTAACCCTACCATTCCGGGAGGCAATGGCAGGTGGAGCTCAGTGAGTTGGAGGCTAGCCTGGTGAGACCTTGTCTCAAGAATATGTTTTTTAATTTAACTTTATACTCCACAACATTTCAATTCTATCATATATGGAAACATGAAATGAGATATGAATTAATGGGTGCCTACATGTGTGCATTCCGGTTTTGCACCTTTGGTTTCTGCATGGGTCTTACACTGTCAGCCTGTCTCCGTTCTTTCTAGCCAGTCTCAGAAGCCACAAGCATCATTGCAACTCTAGATTACAATACTCAATTAACAGGAAAACCTTTAACCAAACTGATACTCCAAACTCTCCGTTTTAGCTATTGGTTGTGGAGCTTTGAGCGAACATTGAAAGTCTCTGTTTCCTTAACTGTGAAGCGTTATTGATAAAAATAGTTATTTGGTCCAGAACTATAATTAGTATATACATATACTAATATATATATGTATGTATATATATTACATGTATTATGTACACATATATATATATATATGTGTGTGTGTGTGTGTGTGTATACATATATATTTGCAGTGCTGAGGATTAAACCCACAGCTCTAACCCGAACTACATGCTAAGCTTGTAGTGCTAGCAAGAAGATTAAGAGATTTTAGACTATAAAAATATTTAGAAGTGTTCCTCATACAAAATAAGCCCTCAATGCACATAGTTTATCCAGATTCTTTTATTGTAATGCTAAGATTAATTTTAATTCAACTTGTTTTCACTTCAATAAAATTAGAAGTTCTCAAGGACCTAGTAACAGTTCGGTTTCTCTGTGTAGTCCTGGCTGTCCTGAAAATCACTCTGTAGTTCCAGGCTGGCCTCGAGCTCAGAAATCCACCTGCCTAGTAACAGTTCTCAAGGATGTAATAACAGTCTAAAATTTGATACAATTTGAATTTTCATCAAATGTTGTTCCACATGGGGAATAAAGTCACCCTTATTTTGTAGTCAATGAATAAGAATGTACCAAACTAAAATTTACTTTTACTATGAATATCCGTGTTCCATTTCCAACCCTCTGCCCAGCCCATTCATCTTCCAGAATGGTTTGTTTGCTTGTCACGTGGAAGATCACACCCAAGGCTCCGAAGTGCTTGCTCTGCAAGCTCCCTACCTCCAGAGCTAGCCTTTGCCTCCTTTTCACTTTGGTTCGTTCGTTCGTTCATTCGTTTGTTTCTTTCCTTTCCCTTTTTTTTTTTTTAAAGATTTATTTATTTTACTTATGAGTACACTGTAGCTGTCTTCAGACACACCAGAAGAGGGCATCAAATCTCATTACGGATGGTTGTGAGCCACCATGTGGTTGCTGGGATTTGAACTCAGGACCTCTGGAAGAGCAGTCAGTGCTCTTAACCACTGAGCCATGTCTCCAGCCCCCGTTTTTTTTTTTTTTTGACTTATTTATTTTTACATTGGTGTTTTGCTTGCATATAGTTCTGAGGGAGGGTGTCAGATACCTTGAAACTATAGTTATAGGCAGTTGTGAACTGCCATGTGGGTGCTGGGAATTGAACACAGGTCTCCTGGAAGAGCAGTTGGTGCTCGAAAACGCGGAGCCATCTCTCCAGTCCCACATCAGTGTGATCTATAGAACAAAGAAGACCATTGTCCTCTTGGAGCTGATGTTCCCTGATGTTTTAGCTGCCATTAATAATTTTCTGTAACACACACGCTAGCGACTGAAAGTTCCTGTAACTCTAAATGTGCTCTTGACACATGGAGACATCTAAAAATGGCTAACGCAGCATTTTCCTCTGAATGAAGACCTCTGAAATCCCCCAAGAATAACCTGTCAATTCATTTCACAGAGGAACAGGCAGAGAGAGAAGTTTGGGGTGGAGTAGTATAATTCAGAGAGAAGGGACTTTTTGGAGGGGAGTTTCTGGGGAGAGAACTTTGAGACTTTGAGATACGGTTATTGTCTTTGTAAACTTTTTTTTTCATGAAAGTGTGCTTTCATGGGGTCTTGCTATGTGACTCAGGCTAGCCTTGAACTTGAGGACCTCCTGCTTCAGTTTCCCAAGTGCTGCCTTGCGAAATCATGCACTCTTGCATGATATCTCCACAGTTCACATCAGAAAAAAACCTAATGGTGGCATTTGTGTGATGGTTTCCATGGGATTCTGAGTGTATTGGATGTGTGTACATGTGTCTGCCTGTGTAGGACCCCTCTCCATGTAGGGGGGAGGGGTAGAAGACAACCTTCTACCTTATATTTTAGACATGGTCTATTATTGGCCTGGAGCTCACTCAGTAGTCCACAATGTCTGCCCCCTGAGCCCAGGGACCGTCCTGTCTCCACCGTCCCATCACTGGGGATGCAAGTGTGCAGCACCAATCAGGATTCTTTTTATACGAGTTATGGGGAATGAACTCAGTTCCTTATGTCTAGAAGGCCAGTACTTTTCTGGCAGAGCCACTTTTATAGCCTCTTGGGTGATTTTTAAAAACAATAATTTTCCTATTTGTTTAAAAAATAGTGGGGATGGCCGGGCAGTGGTGGCAAACGCCTTTAATCCCAGCACTTGGGAGGCAGAGACAGGTGGATTTCTGAGTTCAAGGCCAGCCTGGTCTGCAGAGTGAGTTCCAGGACAGCCAGGGCTACACAGAGAAACCCTGTCACGAAAAACCAAAAAAAAAAAAAAAAAAAAGTGGGGACTAGAGAAATGGCTCAGTGGTTAACAGTTAATGTTACTGATTGCTCTTCTAGTTCAATTTCCAGCACCCACATGGAGAGTCACAACCATCTGAGATGGGATCTGATTCGCTCTTCTGATGTGTGTGCACCAGTACACACACACACATACACACACATATAAAGTTAGCATTAAAAATGTTTGAAAATAGTTGGATTTTTTTCCTGTTTTTCATAATATGTCTTCATTGTATAAAAAAACACTGAAGTGAAAACATGAAGCAGACAGAGAGAAGAAAGGGAGCGAATGGGAGTGAGACTAAGAAGTCGACAGTGGGTCCTGGTCCTAGGAGAGCATTCCGTGTTAGTAGAGTGCTTGTTTAGCAAGCCTGAAACCTTGATTTCTATGTCTAATACCCCCCTACCCACAAGCACCCCCAGACCCCTCCAGAGCATATAAGGCACACACGTATACATGCAGAATTTATTTCATTTTACTTTTTTGAGACTGGATTTCACCATGTAGTTCTGGCTGACCTGGAACTCTTTGTAGATGAAAGTGGCTTTGAACTCACGGAGAATCACTTGCCTTCTGTCTCCCAGATGCTGGAATAAAAGGTGTTCAGTATTAAAACTGGCCAGAATTCATTTTAAATAGTTATACAACCTCCTTGTTGTCACATTTTTAAGAGTTTCTGATTGGAGAAAAGGAATGTTCTTGTATAGCCAGTTATCTACATGTTTGAAACAGAGACGTGCTGCTCCATGTGTTGGAGGATGTTTCTGTGCACTGTGTATTCAGATGCTGATTTCTATGCCCAGACATCAGGGCAGCCTGGTCAAGCATCTCCAGTCTCAATGCTATGTAAAAATTATCTTCCATCCCCTCAGATTCGTTAAAAGAGCTGACCAGCCATGAGGACACATGGACCAGAGCGAAGGCCTAGTCAGGGTAGAATAGATCAGAATCTGCCCAGTTCTTCATGCTTGCAGCATTTTAATAAAAAAATACCAGGTCATCGAGTCTTTATTTAGGACCTAAAAGGGCTGGAGCTGCTGCAGACACTGCAGTTATTTGAGAGCAAAGGGGGCGTAGAAACCCCTCCAAGAATTACTTTTACATCTGTGTGTTGATTTCCATGTTTAGATAGACAGTCTAAAATAGAGTTTTATATATGGATTGAGTTAGGCTTCTGCTGCCTTGTTTTCCTGTGTGACTATCCAAGTGACTGAGCATCAAATATAGAAATACCATTCTTTCCCTAGTACACAAGTGTGCTACTTTTAAAACAAACAGGGGAATCTTATAAGGATTTTTTTGATTGATTTTAGTGTTTTCCACTGATTTGCATCAGTAATCACAACAGTATCAAGATAAACACAAAAAATATAAACTTATTGTAGTTCTTAATCATTTGAGTGTGTGTGTTCGTTCACATGTGAATGCTGTAGTGCAAGCCAGAGTCATAGGACAGTTTGTAAGAGTGGGTTTTTTCCTTCTACTAGGTGGCTCTCAGGGATTGAACTCAGACCATCAGAGTTGGTGGCTGTTAGCATTATGTCTAAACTCCACCCCACAGTTACCTGGCAACAGCCAGGTAAGCCTGCCTACTATAAAAGGGGCTGCCCCCTCCTCTCTCTCTTGTCTCTTGCTTCTCCCTGTCCCCTCACCCCTTCTCCCTTCCCCCCCTCCTCTCTCCACATGGTCATGGCTGGCCTCTAATTCTCTTTCTCCTCTCCTCTCCTCTCCTCTCCTCTCCTCTCCTCTCCTCTCCTCTCCTCTCCTCTCCTCTCCTCCCCTCCCCTCCCCTCCCCTCCCCTCCCCT